TTGGAATGGGGGGTTTTTTGTTACGTCCTAAAGAAAATTTTTTAAAGGGTGGTCCCAAAAGGGTTGTGGTTAAAGTCAAGACTGCTCCTTAGTTAAATTAATGGGCCAAGGTGGACAAAAACCCATTCTCCCCAGACCCCGGGTCCATTACAATTTTTCCAAATTCTTTGTTTAATTTTAAATTCTAATTTCCGTCCCGGTAGCATTTTTTGTTATGACAAAGGAAAACGGGCTCATATTTTTCGATTTTGCCTTGAATTGGCGAACTAATTTTAAGTGGCCAAAACCCCTTTGGCCCAAGCAAAAAAACCAAAAACTTGGTTCCAAAAACTTTTTTAAAATCAAAAAGTTTTAATTTTTGAAACAAAAAAATAAAGAAAAAGGGACCCGGCATGGACATTGGCAGTAAAGTCAGGCCTCTTGCATTTTGTACAAACGGGTTGTTTTCCAATTTTCTTTACTTTTTCTTCACAGTTTCCGTTGTTCTTTTGTTCTACTGTTCACACTTTTTTTTTTCAGTGTGCTAACCTACTATGCTCTCTCAGTTGTACATGTTTTCACGGACCTTTGCCTTGATAAGAGCTGTACTTCTGTCCGTCGCCATGTTACAGGTTTGCTGAAGCTAGAGATGGAGGGGTACATGATCCGCGATTCACCTGTGCCGAAACTACCCCAGACAGCCGTCCGCAGCCTGGATCCAGTGGAGCCATCGATCAGATATCTCTCCTTCGATTTGTACTACCAGCTGGCGTTGGCCGAAGAGCATCTCCTTCCGCTCGTGACCAATCACTCGGCCACGCTGGAGAGGCTAATAAGCGCGAGCCACCACCCGAAGCTCGCTGGTTTGCTGGCCACAGCCCCCAGGTAGACACACAACTGGTTCTAAACAATCAATGAAGCGGAAGAAGGGGATAACTCTTACGCTGCAAACGTTTCAAACTGTTTGAGGCCTTGCAAAGCAAAGCAGCTTGTTAAGTATTTTGAGCATACACAAGCTTACAAAGTAAATACTTTGTAATTCACGAACTATTTCTTAGTATAACAAATTTATTTAGTTTGTATTTTGTGTGCTCGGAATACTTCGCAAGGTTTAAAGCGTGCACTTTTCTTTGTTTTCAAGGAGAAACAAAAAACCGTTTGCAGGAAAAACTAACTCCAATCAAATAATGTAACTGAATTTTTGCACTCTCAGACAGACTATTGACTTTTAGTACATGGTATTGACATTTTGTCGATAGTACCTCTAGTTTTTTGTGCTATGGTTATATTTACTTTTGACTTTTGTTCCTGCATTTTTGTTAGTACTTATAGACAAAAAATAATTCCTATATAATTTTGTGCAGTAAATTGTTCGTATCTAAGAAGAAAATACTAAGTATTATTGTTGTAGGCTATATAGTGCCTGGTTACTAACCGTAAAGTCAATAAGAGGCCGAGAGTGCGCTTAAGTAATAACTGTGAAAATTTTCAAAAGTGTAACACCATGATTTGCGTGATTCAAATCTTGACAAAGGCCAGAACTTCAGAGGTTTGAAAATCTGGTTTTACGATCCGCACCACATCGGGCTTCAATTACCTTATTTGTTTCAGACTGCGCAAGATAACATGTCCTATGCTGGACGGTATGGAGGCTCTCGAGCAATGCCCTAGTCTAACGTCGGTGCACTTGTTGGTTGACTTAGCGGAACACGCCATGGTAAGCTGCCTGCCTCCTCTGTGAAACCTCCTCATTTGAAATGTGGAGGTTTGGGATTTTCAGTCTTCACACTTGGAAGAACAGAGTGTGCACTGTGGACTCAAATGAGTACACACCTCAGCCGCTCATATTACCGGGCGCAGAGGTGTGCACTTGAGGGGTTAAACACTCCACGAAATCGTGTACAGAGTACTCGGTATTACGCGGTATTACGCTGTATTGCGGGGACATTACACGTGTATTACCGCACTTAAATGCCAAAATTTGGCATATTTAGCCCAAAAATAATATTACAATTACGTGTATTACGCGTTATTCACGGTTTTTGTGTACAGGGTATTACGCGAGTGTTTACCCCCTCGTGTGTACTCATTTGAGTACACTCGTTCGCGAGTAAACTCATCTGAGCACACTCTTGTGGGAGTGTACTCGTCTGAGCACACTCTTGTCGAGGGGTCCTAATCAAAAGATCTTATCTGGGCGCTCCTATTCAAAGAATCCTATCTGCAACGGACGCGAATTTCCTAAAGTTTGATCATTTGGGACGGAGAAGAGGGTAAGCGGAACATTTTTCTACACGCACTATTAATTTCTTCGATCTTCCATCTTCAAGTTTGTGTAACTACAATCCCAAATTATTTTGATTTGTAACTACCTCAAATGATCGAACTTGGTGAAATTGGCTTGCTTTGCAGAAAAGATTCTTTGAATAGGAGCGCCTGGATAAGATCTTTCGAATAGAATAGATTTCCAAAATAGATTAGAATACACTGCAGGAAATAACCACAACAAAAGTACACAAATTTCTGGCAAAATTTTTATCAGGAATTTAGTGTACTTTTCAAGTACAACAATTGTTTTACAAAGTACAATGGAACCGGCATGACGAGTGCTGGGCAGTCCCGGCCTCGTTGTGGTTTGTACAATTCTCGTTGTACTTTCTACAATCCCTGTTGTACTTTTAATGTACAGTTTTTGTTGTACTTTTGTTGTACTATCCACACTTTCTATTGCAGTGTAGAATAGATTTTCAAGGAAAGAAAAGAGTGCGTTTGTGACCTTTACTTCCATACTTGTCCCCGAATTCCTCACGTTGCAAATTTTATTCCCGCAGGTCGCCAGCCGCTGGGCCGGTGCGATGGCCTTCCTGCGAGTCGCCTCGCTGAAGCTCACTCGCCTCAAGCTGGAAGTGTTCAAGTACGAGGAACCGGCGGAGCTGGAGGACCTGTTGCTGTCCGTGGGCGGCACTCTTGGCTTCCGACCGCCTTCCACACTGCAGTGCCTGGCTTTGGACTTCTGCCCGGGCGACTTCGGCAAGGATCGCATGAGGAAGAAAGACTTCCCGCCGCTTCGCCTCCGTTCCCTGGCGGCCATACTGCCGCGACTGGCGAACCTGAGGCATCTCACGCTGGGCGCCGCTCCCTCGGCAGAGTTCCTGGACGCCATCAACCCCAAGGCGCTGCCGGCTCTCGTCAAGTTTGTGGTAAGAGACCCACTTTACTGGCAGTTCCCCCATGGGTCTGACTAATTTTTACGTCTCAGCGCTCAAAATTCACTGTGAGAAAAAAGTACGGAAAAAGTACGCAACAGGTCTGGTCGATAATTTGCCTGGATCGTCCGTACTTGTCAACTACGGAACGTTCCGTACTTTTTTTTCCGTACCCATTTACATGGGTTCATATGGAGCAGGTGCGGAACGTTCCGTACTTCTCTCCGTACCTCCGTACTACATTTTTCTGTACCATTTCCGTACAAAAGTACGGATTTTTTTTTACAGTGAACTAAATGCATGATTATGCACTTTCATGCACAACTATTCACTTTTTATGCACAACTATGGTACTTTTGACTTTGACCCATACGAAACAAATGCATTGTAATTTTTCTGCATCAAGACAGTAGCTCATCTACGCTGTAAGAAAGGCGTAGGGTCTGTCCGCTTACAGGAAGGCGCTATGTCACTCCGCAGTTCTACCGTACCGCGTTGGGAACGTTAACAGCTAAGAGAACTACTCTCTTCATAGGCTGTAATGGTCGAATTTTGATTGCTCTACAAAGTCGGAGGGCTGACTTATTACAATGGATATTTTAGAATTGTTTTTATACATGTTAGCTACTGGTTCGATGAGTTTGACAAAAACCTCTTCATGATGGTTTTTCGATAGCCTTATCTGAAATCCGTCAAGACATTTTAAAAATAATATTCCTGTGACAATTTGTAGCTACTGTGGTATCGGACACCATTGTATCAAGCCCAATTCTTTTGACTAACTAAACTTGGCACGCACGCGCAAGCATTATATTCAAATTTGTATATTGCTGAAGGATGACCTTTACTATTAGTCATCGATTCACTAAAGTTTTAACTTTTATCCCAACCCAGTCGTTGACATTGTCAGCGTTTCATCTTGTATACTTTATGGTTGTTTCTGTTTCCAGCTGTTTTCGTCCCGAGGCTGCAGCCATGAGTGGTTCCACACTGGAGTGCTGACTGCCTTGCTGAAGCGCAACCCTAGACTACACGCGGTTGTTAGGGATGGCTGGTGCAGTGACTGCCTCAAAGACCTCTTCCCTGACAGAGAAGATTGCACCTTCTGTGTCAACGAGTGCCAACCTCGCTGCCCGGATGGTTTCTGGAAAAAATACGGGAACACCGTGTTTTTCTCACACTCTGAAACTGACCCCTGTGACTTGAACAACGAGATTCACAACACGGCATCTAGATCGATGAAAGTGTAGAGGTTCAAAGTTGACTTTCTCATGATTATTTTGTTTGCTCTCAGACTCTGTCCATATATGTCTTAACACTAGAATTGATGAATAAAATGTTAGTTTCCTTCTCTTCAGAAGTTTTTTTCCCTAGTCCTTGACTCCAGTACCTGGGTGACGATACAAAAAGAACACACTTCTTGTTCGATCTCATTGTCAAATAATGTTCTGAGTCAGATTGTACAATCAAAGATTTATTGTGATCCTCCTTGATCAGTTACAATGCCGTGGGATATCCTACTTCACTCTTAACAGCCATTTGCTTCGTTACGGAGCATTTGCATCGTAACTACAAAGAAAATGAAGGCATTGTAGAATTGCTTTGTATTATAAAGAAATGCTTCGTGTTCGAGGGGGCAAAAACTCGGGATTTTCGTGTACACATGATTCGGAAAACGCAATGATTCGCATGATTCGCGTAATGCACGTGATGTTGAATAATTTGGGTGATTTTGTCCGATTTGAAAATTTTATCTTGATTGCGCGTGATTCTGTGTAATTGCGGATGGTTTTAATTGATTTCATGGCTGATCCTGCCTTATTTCGCGACGCACCAGGGTGATGTTGAGCGTGATTGTGTGCAATTGTGTTCGGAAAGAAATGATTTCGGACTGTTTTTGCCTGGTTTCGTGTGATCCTGCCTGATTTCGGTCGATTTTAGTGATTTTGGTTGATCTCGGATTGCTTGATCTCGGATTGCTTGATTTCGGATTGCTTGATTTCGCGTGATTCTCAATGATTCGCGTGTGATTTCGGGGGCCGTATACACATGATTGCGAGAGTTTTTGCCCCCTCGTTCGAAGGATTTTGCTTCGTAAGACAACATTTCTTCGTAGATTTTACAATGCCTTCATTTTCTTCGTATTACAAAGCGGTTCTTCGTAGAGCTTTTACTGCGTTCACAATTTCTAGAACTCCTCGCGGTCACATTCACTGCATATCACTTTCACAGCAGTCAAGTTGGCTTCCACAAACATGTCCCACAGCTGAATCTTCTGAACTCTGCACGAGTCCTTGTCGTGACGACAGAAAGCCCCTCCGTCGGTTTGCCTCAGCAGCACCATCCGCATGAGCTGCTTGAGTCCGCACCGCCGGATCTCATCGGCCAGGTCGGGGCAGCCGTAGGGCTCCGTGGAGGCCGCCACCAGCTGCAGCTCTTGCAGCGAGTCCGCGTGCGCGCGCACCAGGGCCAGCGCCGCGGCCAGCGGGTACACGCCGCAGCGCAGCCACTGCAGCCTGGCGGTGGAGATGTGCGAATTAAGGACACTCATTCCAGGAACGTCACGGTGAAACGAACGTGACAAAATGTTACGTTCGTTTGAACATTGTGTCACATTCATTCGGATGTGAATCGGCCAAAAATCAGCTTGTTCACATTTCGACGACTGTGACACAATGCCAGGCGCGGATACACAGAGGGGGGGGGGGGGGTCAGGGGTGTTCACCCCTGATTCAATTCGATTCGGTACGGAACTATTCGAACATCCTTACTTAGCGGGAGTGGCGGGGAAGGCCACCACGGGCAGGGGCGCGGCAAACGGGCAGTGCAGCTCCAGGCGGCGCAGCGACGCCATCTGGTTCGCCGCCTGCAGGGCGTCACCCGTCACGCCCTTGATGCAGAGGGACTCCAGGATCGGAATCTGGTTCAACTGCTGCAGGTGATCGCCGGTGACACCGCTGAGGCAAAGGGCCTTCAGGTACGGCATCGTCCGGACGACGTCCAGGTGCCGCTGCTGAGGCGAAGACATCTGCAGGCCCTCCAGGTGCGGAGCCACCTGCTCCAGCACCTTCTGGTTCCAGTACGGAGATACACTGCAGTCCAGGTTGATGACGCGCACCTGCGCGGGGACAGTTTCAAGACAGTTTCAAGACACAGTCTGGCGTACACCTACCTTGTATCCAAGACCGCCAAAGTCAGGAAGATGCGGAATTTAATTACGAAGAGAATGGTGTATGATTAAAAACTGTAGGACAACATCCTACGCTTGGCCTAACGCGATTTAAAGTGAAAAGCGACGAAATTTCAACAAAAATCGCACTTTGAGCAGGCCGTATCGCAGTAATTATAGGTTCCCGACAAAAATGTTCACAGTAAAATCTTCTTGTCTTGTCGAATTATACAGGAGGGTATGATTTGGGACCACTGTGGGCTGATCTGGGTCTAAGAAAATGGATATTTTCGCTTAAAATCCGTCGCTTTTCACTATAAATCGCGTTATGCCAAGCGTAGGATGTTGTCGTACTGTTTTCAATCATATACCATTCTCTTCGTAATTAAATTCCGCATCTCCATGACTTCGGCCGTCTTGGATATTGATGCCTGGTTTAGCCGCTATGAGTGAAAAAGTGTCGATTTGGCCTCACAGACCTTACTTTGGATCCCCCCCGGGGGGTGGAAGGGGGTCCGATGGTTCAAATTGGGCATTGCAGTTAGTCTTAGGATATCTTCAAGTACTTAGCCCGTGATCAGTTTTTCGATCCCAGATTTTCACTCCACCCTAATCTGTAGGGAAAGATAGTACTCTCAAAGTACAACGGTTGTTGTACAAAGCACAATGTGCCATGACATGCATGACAAGAGCAGTCAAGCCAGGCCTTGTTGTATGTGCCATTCTTCTTGTACTTTTCCCCCAGCGTCTTCGTTCGATTGTGGGAGCAAACCAGAGCCTACCAGCAGTGCCCAAAACAGAGCGGTGATCCTCATATACCAGTTACTCTCATATAGGTTAAGTCTGAAGAGCTAGTCTATTATAGGTACAAGAACTGTGAGCAATCAAAAAATTGAGTGATTTTCTCAAGTCTGTTTTTGTTCCAATTGATTATTTCTACACTTCAGAGCTCTCAGATTCTCTTGTTTCGATCCAGGGGAACGAAAATTGATAAATTTACACAAAATTGAGTTGGAATTCCGAATCTGCGCGCAGAACCGAGGTGGAAACAACTTGAATACACTGTGGAAAAAAAGGGACATTTTCTCCGTTAATTTATGGCCAGAACTTTCCGTGATTCGAGACCCAGGATTTTCCGTGATTTCAGACACAGGATTTTCCGTGATTTCAGATCCAGGCTTTTTCCGTTGTTTGACACCCAGAGATTTCCGTAGTTTGCACAGTGCGTTGAAAGGCCATGGCAGTAAAGGGCAGACTTTGTGAGGGAAGTTTCTAAACTTGGCCAAAGAAACATTAACTTACAGAAATGGATGCATTCGTCTTGTCAAAGTTAACAAAAAAACTGTCATCCCACATCCTAAACACACGTTCGAAATGATGGGTTTGAGCTTCAAACGTATCGAAGTTCCGTATCGGTATGAGATACGATGATTTTTGGCACTGTTGATATAAGAAGGTGAAAAATCAAATATGTGGATATGGAAAACTGACGACGGGAATGGATTCGTCTCAACGAAATGGAAAGAAACATACCCATATGTCTTAGGTTTTGACTCGAAATGGCCGATCTACAGAATCCAATACGTCGATTTTGACACCCCTTTTTCAAAGGCGTTGCAAATACGTGCTAAAATCGACATATTGGATTCTGTAGATCGGCCATTTCGAGTCTAAACCTATGACATATGGGTATCTTTCTTTTCATTTCGTTGAGACGAATCCATTCCCGTCGTCAGTTTTCCATTTCCACATATTTGATTTTTCACCTTTTTATGTCTATAGTGCCAAAAATCATTGTATCTCATATCGATACGGAACTTTGGTATGTTTGAAGCTCAAACCCATCATTTCGAACGTGTGTTTAGGATGTGGGATGACAGTTTTTTTTGTTAACTTTGACAAGACGAATGCATTCATTTCTGTAAGTTAATGTTTCTTTGGCCAAGTTTAGAAACTTCTCTCACAAAGTCTGCCCTTTACTGCCATGGCCTTTCAACGCACTGTGCAAACTACGGAAACCTCTGGGTGTCAAACAACGGAAAAAGCCTGGATCTGAAATCACGGAAAATCCTGTGTCTGAAATCACGGAAAATCCTGGGTCTCAAATCACGGAAAGTTCTGGCCATAAATTAACGGAGAAAATGTCCCTTATTTTCCACAGTGTATTTGGTGTACGTTCCCCTTGAAATAACGTGAATTTGAAATCACAGTGTGTTAAAGAAGTTGTTTGCCCCTTCACTGCGAGAAAAGATCACGGCAAATCCTGTACTGATTACTCCAGACTTCACCGTACTTTTTTTAACAGGCAATATCGTCATTTTTTACAGGCAATACCGTACTTTTGTTTACAGGCAACACCGTACTTTTTTTTTTACAGGGAATCCCGTACTTTTATTACCTATCAAAAACTGCTATATTTTTTTTCAGTCGGTTGACCCTCTTTTTTCAAGATCCTGATGTACGTAAACTGCTGAAGTCGGACTCCTGGACCCCCCTCCCGACCACTCGTTGGAAAGGTCTCGACGAGACCTATCGAAAGGTGCAGATGGGTCCTATGAACAAAGACCGATGTCCTTTGGGTCGCTCGAACAAAGTCCGATCTCCTTCGGGTCGCTCGAACAAAGACCGATCTCCATTTCCTAACCTCTCAACGCGTTCATTTTGAAGTCCCAGAACAATCTCTACGTTTTGATTCCACACAAATGGGTTTTAGATAATCATTCCCCAATATGTTAAGAACAAAACCTGCAAAATATTGTTTAAGTTCGATGTCTTTTGAGAGAACCACAAGATAAAGAAGCGGCCAATGCAGAAATAGCCAAAATGGAGATCGGTCTTTGTTCGAGCGACCCGAAGGAGATCGGTCTTTGTTCGAGCGACCCAAAAGACATCGGTCTTTGTTCATAGGACCCATTATTGTTCAGTCGGTCGACCCCCTTTTTTCAAGATCCTGATGTGGACAATTCTTGGAAGCGGCCTTTGTTGGGACCAGATCTGGTCTTTCCTACGGCATGGACTGTACGGAAGAACCCCTTATAAAACGGGGAAGGCTCCGAAATGGGTCCGATCGGACGATCCGAAATTTTCCGGAGGACAGTCCGTCAGTCCCCGCCGGACAGTTCCGAAATCTTTCCCGGACTTGCCGGGAATCGGTCGAAAAGTACCACAATCAGAAGGATTTCGGGGAGTCCGACAGGGCTGGTCGGTCTCGTTCCGGGCCGTCCGAGACGAGTCCGAAAAAAAAATGAAACTGGCGTTTGCCGAGGTGGGGCTACTGTGGCTGGATTCGTTCCCGGGCCCCTCTCCTTTGGACTTTCCTCGCTGCATGTTGTCGACGTCGCTGACCACTGCGCTAACCTGAAACATGAGGGCCGGGCCCGCAGGCGAGCCTCTTCACCGGCGCAGCGCTCATTCCTCCTCTCTGTGGCGAGCGCAACGCGCGCTATGCAAGCTAGAAGGGTGCGGTTTTCGACGCGCCTCTTGTCTGAATCACCTGTATGGCGGGATTCGACATAGTGGCTCACATATTTTAAATTAGATCTGGTAAAATTTGAGCAGCTTTAGTCGTACTCACTATGTGAAAAAAATATATAATTCATGGGAAATTTCTTTGCTGTTAAGCATTAACAGATTTAGGTCATTGCCGTGTTGAACGAGTAATATTTTAACACGCCGCCCTGCATGTTACAGTTTGACGCTGCTTTTTTTTTGGCAAAATAAGTGTGTGTTCTAATACAGCGTGCTTTCTGATGACACTGTGTGACCTGTGCATCTGCGCAGGTATGGGCGGGTTAGAGGCGTCCCGCCGGGGTAACCCGAGGTAACCCGTCCCCCCGCGCGACCCGCGTGCGGCGGCGGCGGGGGCTTTCCCGCGAGGCAAACAATCCCTTCGGAATTATTCGCTTAAAATTCTAGGAATCTGAGGCAAACAAGAGAAGGCCTACCCAGGATAGAGAATACCGCTCGACTCGCCGCTATCAGGCACTGCAACGTGTTCAAAAGTTCGAACTTGCCCTAACAAGATTGACTGTATCCCGGCCGGTCCCAACCCAAGGCTTTCAGGCGGTCACCCCTGCATCCGGACTGTATCGGACAGACCGTCGGACAGATTCGGACGCTCCGACAGACGTCGGCAAATAATCGGGCAGTCCGCTTCGCCAGTCCCCGGATTCGGACTTGAAAAGTCGAGTCCCGGACAGAAAACGGGCTGTCCTGGGCCAGTTGGACAGCTTTGGATGTGTCCTCGGCCAGTTTCGGATGATTTCGGTTTGGTAAGGGCGGTAACTACTGTTAAAAGACTACGGAATATTTTGTAAAACAAGTACGGTAAAAACTGTAGACTGTACGGTGGATACTGTTTTTTGAAGTACGGTAAAGTTTGGCAAAAAAAATTATCCAGGACTTACGTCATTTTTTCTCAGAGTAAATTGCGCGGACGACACTAGGAACGCTGCACACCCCAAAATTCAGTGAATTCCATAGTCCAGGCTGGTATGAAAATTGGCGGGATTTACCGTACGTAGATTTTTGTCAAAGTGCAGCTTGCAACACCTGCATCTCTCAGAGTCACTGTCTCCATGAGCTAGAAACAATATCGTCACACCACTGATCGACGGTAGAGCAACTTACCGTTTTGAGTATACCATTCGTTAACACCTGGGCCATGACGGTGCTTGTGGACACGGCACCAAAGGTAGAGGTTGTTCCCAGATGCGATTTCTACAAAATATAAAGTCGCACTTTCATTCCAAGAGCGCGACATCACGCTGAAAAGAGCGAGGCAAAATGTCACGCTCGTTTGAACATTGTGTCACGTTCATTTGGATGTAAATCAGCCATAAATTAGCTCAAAGGAGCGTGACATTTTGTCTCACGCCCCATCTCGTCTCAGCGGCTACGGGCATATTCAAGATAATGAGAGCTACAAGCCATTGTTCGAAAAGCATTTGACACAGATAGGGTAAAGTGCCGAACATGGATCGGGGTACCAATCATGGATCATTTTTGTAAGCGAGCCCGTACCACCAAACCAATCAACCAATTTAACTTTTTCAAAGTTTTCATTTGGTCTACACATTTGACTACAAGAATCACGCGCGGGGGAGCTGATCAATCTTACCGTTACCCTTACAATATGCAAATGAAAAAGTGCCTCTAAAATAGGGTCCGAAAACTGCCTGGCTTCAGGTCAGGTTAGGTTAGAAGTCAAAATTCAAATCGTTATTACAGACGATTCATCAGAAATGTCTCAAAATTTTTTCGTGGCACCTTCAGAGTGTACCCTTTCAAATAGACGACCGGAAGTTATCGGAACGCCCCTGTCAAAACGCGAGGGGGGGGGGGGGGGAATCCATGTTTGGGTCAGACCCAAATATGGATTTCAAAGCCCTGTAAATTTCAAAGTATTTGTTATAAAATGTTCAATTCTTGAGAGGAGGTTGTCTTTGTGGTCAACTTGGAGCGTATCAAAGACAATTTGGGTCATCGCTTGTTTGAGCCGAAATAAGGACATTTCTAAAAAGTTATCCATGTTTGGTAACCTTACCCTATAGAGCTTCAAAATTTGGGTGGTTTGGACTCAATGCCATTCTCGAAACTCTCAATTAAGCCCACACACAATAAAGATACAATAAGACAAAATATTATCGTTTGAGCATTGTGTCACGTTCGTTTGAATGTGCTTAAGCTTGCGCCGCTAGCGTCACCTGCTTCAGCGGCCGCACTAGCAGTAGGGCTCTAGGCCTGACCGGGGTTTTGTTTTCTCACCAACGGAGCGGGCGCCAGAAGATGGAGCTGGTACTCCGTAATAGTAACAGGATCATAGCCACGTTGGGTCGGGGTCTTCTGGTACTCTCCCATGGGGTGTGAGCTTGTGACGCCGGTGCGGTCCCACTTCACAGATACCCAACCACTGTTACCACTACTAATGGCCGGAATGACGGTGCCGGGCCCAGGCGGCTTTCCGTCCTCATAGCGTCCTTCTGGCCAATCCCTGCCCCGCTCCACCCTGGCGCCTTCAACCATCCTGGCCTTCATGTCTTCTAGGGTCAGCACATTCTCTCCCTCGTTGCAGCGCTCCGGCAAGAGTCGGGCTGCGACAAAAGAAAATTGAGACGCCGTCAAAAGAAAGAAAGGGTGCGAGCATTTTAGACCTAGGTTCCGACCATTCGTTGAAAAGGTCTCATCAAGATCTACGCGAATCAAGAATAAAACAAAATTTCTTGGTCAACCCCCTTTTTTCAAGATCCTGATTGGTCAACTGGATCTTGAAAATAGGGAATCGGTGTGTGCAAATATTTTGAAGTTCACTGAAAAAAGTTTTCGTAATTCTACGACAAATTTCGCAACGAATACTTCGTAAATCTGACGAAAACCTCGTAAGAATCAACATACAAACCTCTCGTAAAACACTTTTTAGGAATTGTTCGTAAAACTCTTATAAAAACAGTCAAAAACAGCCAAAAAGCTGCGAAAATTTACGAGTTTTTCGTAAAATAACGAATTATTCACCGCTACATTTATCGTAAAATTACGAATATGTTCAGGGAAAATTTCTGTCATGAATAATTCATACGAAAAGTGACGAAACATTCGTAAAATTACGAAAAACTCGTACTATAACGAATATCTTGTAAATTTTTTACGAATTATTCGTAAAGTTAAATAAACGAAGCACTTGTCAATTCATTTTACGAAACACTCATAACATTCTACAAATTACTCGTAACATAACGAATCATTCATAAATTTGATGAAAAACTCATCGTTAAATTGTTCGTAAAATTACGAATTTACTCAGGGAAAATTTCTGTCCGAGTAATTCGTAATTTTACGACCATTTTTTTATCAGTGTTGTTTCCCCTTCGCCGAGACTCACCGGCAGGTCGCTCTTGCCCCTCTTCGTGCTCTTGCTGTTGCTCTTGCTGCAGCCCTCCGTTGAGCGCCATCCGGCACAGCAGCAGCCTGGCCGCTGCGTCGTCCGCCAGCCCAACCTCGCCGCGCCACGCCACGCCACCGTCAGCGCCCCGCTGCACCGTAAGGCTACACGTGGCGACGGGGTCGGCCAGGTCGTCCAGCAGCCGGACAGGGGTCCGGGACAGGCCTGGCAACAACCAAGCACGAAAATTCACATTGTCGGTAGAGGACACTCGGTACAGCGCATACACTGTTATTCGACGAATAGCCTAGGATTACGACTGCGCGGCATTTCTCAGAAGAAAAATTAGGGGTGTACACTCCTTGGATTAGCAGAGCACAACGGGCCAGAAGACCGGTGGAGGCGGCCAAAATTCTCGACGCATCTTGAGCTCCCGAGTCGCTAAATGGGACTCGAGCCGAACGTGTGACCCCACCAATGGATTGCTTTCCGAGCCAGGAATCCATTGGCGGGGTCACATGATCGGTTCGAGTCCCATTTAGCGACTCTGGAGCTCAAAACGCGTTAGGACTTTTGACCGTCTCCGCCCACTGTGCAGCCCGCACCTTCCCGCGCTGCGGCCTTGGCCTGCTCCCAGACGGCTTCGTCCGCCACCTGCGCGTCCTGCAGGCGCGCCCTGGCTGCGGCCAGGCCCGCCTTGTCCTGCTGCAGCCGGTCGCGGCTGTCCTGCAGTTCCCGCGCCACGTGTTCTAGTGTGTCGCGCAGCTCGTCCAGGGCCGCCTCGCCGCGCTGCAGCGACCCCAGCAGCAGCGCCGCGTCCTTGGCGCGGGCCTTCTTGAGGCTGCACACGGGGTGGTCGTCGATGCAGTCCGCCGTCGCGGCCTTCTTGCAGCTCAGGCACCAGAAGCGGGGGTCGGCTTTCTCAGCCGGCCTGAAGGCAATCAATTAATTTCCCCCTCAAGTTTTTGCTCGAAGTTTTTTGACGGTGACGTGACGCAGTATGGGCCGGAAGACCGCCGCAGGCGGCCAAACCTTTTGAGCTCCAGAGTCACCAAGTAGGACCCGAACCGAACGTGTAAGCCAACTAATGGATTCCCCGTTCGAAGAGCAATCCGTTGGTGGGGTCACACGTTCGGTTCGAGTCCTATTGAGCGACTCCACAGCTCAAAACGCGTCTGGGATTTTTACCGCCTCCAAAGGTCTTCTGGCCCACTGTGCGTCACAGTGGACGAAGTGCGCAGATGCGCTACACTCGAAGACTCGTATTGACTTTTTTCTCTCCAGCATTGACTTTTTATCCTTTGCTTACGTAGTTTTTTAAGCAGCAATAATATGTAGTATTTCCTTTGTAACCATGTACAATATCGTTCACTATAAAGACTAAATTGCCATTTTTGGTTCAATTGCGTACTGACTCTTTGTCAATAGCAAACTGACTTTAAGTCAATATAACGAACAAAATATTACATAGATATTGAGGAAATAGTACTTTTTATTGCTGTTTAAAATACTCTTTAACAAAAGATCAAAAGTCAATTGAAGTCTGAGAGTGTAGCGATAGCGTTGTGCAAGGATTTGCTCGTTACTCGAAACAAATGTACCTGGCCAGGTAAGTTCTACAAAACGATAGGGAAAATAAAGATAGGCGAGTGACAGCACGGGAGAAAACCGTAAGGGCTTACTTGTTACTTTCAGCGAGAAGACTGTAGTTATCCAATAACTTCTCCGGCGGAAGATTGAAGGCCTACAAATAAATGAAAAAAAAAACCTGGCCTCAGCTTGTGGACACACAGGAAATTACTTTGTACTTTTTGTGCATAAGCTTCGCACAAAATTGAGCATGCGTTTTGAAATACACGAATTCGTGCGTAATGAAGCACGGAAATGAGCATATCAAAACGCATGCTCAATTAAGTGCAAAGGTTATGGACAAAAAAGTACAAAGTAATTTAGTGTGCATTGATTTTAAAATCATGTATCCATTGGTTCCGAAAATCGAGTAGCCAGTACTGCCGAACTTTTAATTTTAATAAAGACGGTAGGTATTGCAGTTTGAATTACTGTGTCTGGGTTTCAAGATAATTCTGATTTTACAGCGATGGCTGTTTCATGTACACTGTAAAAAAAACTACGTATCCTCTTGTCAATACTACCCTCCGTGTTCTCCGCTTGCCCGTAGCAAAGCATTGAGGCGCACGGAGAACAAACTAAATTCTTGTCGGCTTTTTTAGGCATAATAATGCATAAAAAGTGCATCGTTATGCATGAAAAAAGTCCACAAGAGTTTATAGTGTGTAAGTCCTACGGAGAAGTTGAGTTTTGGGTACAGAGGCACAAATTATTTACAGATTTTTCCAGTGTACAGTCCGGACAGAAGTCCTTTACCTTGCTGTCGACAGGGCACTTTTTGCTGGGCAACTGAATGAGGCATTTCAGGCAGTACGAGTGTCCGCAGGGAAGCACCTTCGGGCGGCGCTCGGCGGAGTCGAACTGCTCCATGCACACGCTGCAAATCATCTGCAGCCAAAGACACAGACGGTCTACAGTGGGCCAGAAGACCGGTGGAGGCGGCCAAAAGTCCAGACGCGTTTCGAGCTCCAGAGTCGCTAAATGGGACTCGAACCGAACGTGTGACCCCACCAATGGATTGCTCGTTCGGAGAGCAATTCTAGGCGTGGAAAACTAAATCCAATGGAACATCATGACTTCACTGTCATTCCAGGGACGTGATATCACGTTGAAAACGGATGTGACAATATATCACGTTTCTTTTGAGCGTTGTGTCGCATTAAATATAACTCCGCTATGGATTAGCTAATTTTCTTTAAATTTAAATTTACATTGGTTAACCAATGTGATACAATGCTCAAAAGAACGTGACAGTCTGTCGCATTCATGTGATGTCACGTTCCTGAAATGAGTGATCATGCCGCGGGGAAAAAATCTGAAGCCGGTTCCACCGCACTGGGTCTGCGGTTGATGCATTCACTGGAATTTCATAAGCTGGCTAAGAAAAAGCAATGGCGCTGCGTCGGCTCTAGGCTTAAAACATACCGTGGTTAGTTCTGATGGACGACCCAGCAACAGTCAAAACTCGGCGAGTTTTGAAGAACTGACGAGACGATCAAAAACTAAAATCGAACGGACGACTTGTCATCAGCCCAGTCGGAGTCACCACACTGCGAAACTACGTGAAGCCCCAACGCGACGGCCGAAGCGATGCGTGATATCAGTATCGTATCGGCGAAGATAAGATAGTATGTATGCAGAAGTTGCACTCTTTATCTGAGTCTCCATACCGTTCGTTCACGGCAATGCGTAGTTGGACAAAAGCACTGTATGGAGAGGTAAGGGCACAAATATCCACAGGGTTTCCACAACCCTGCTGGAAGACCTGAAAACAGTGGTCTTGGAAATTAGTTGGAGGTCCCGGAACAAAAATGGGACGCCAAAACATGGAAATGGATGCAACACATGTTTTAATGGTTTTGTACGAGGGAATTTTACACTTCAAAGTCCCGATTTAAAAAATTTATTTTTCAAAATTACAAGTTGTTTGATAAAATGAAGGGTCTATAGTACAAATTTAGTCTTTAAACAGGGTGAAGACAAGTTGCTTGCCGAACGTGTGACCACACCAATAGATTGCTCTCCGAACGCGTCTTCAGTTTTGGCTGCTGGCGCCGGTCTTCTGGCCCACCGTGGATTATGATTCCGGCCTCCTGATGAGAGGCTCGCCCCCGCGGCGGCCTCCGCCGGAGGCAGCAGCTTCGGACAAAGCCAGCTCGGCCTCCAGGCGGCGGTATCGCTTTGGGATGCACAGCTGCGCCAAGAAGCCCGCGGCAAGGAGCACGACGAGGAAGCCGTGAGCGACGTGCGGTCCCCAGGCAGCGAACAAGCGGCTGTACGCCAAGGCAGCAACCATGGAGCATGGCTGGGGAGCAGAGAGAGAAAGAGGATTGCACAGTGGGCCAGAAGACCGGTGGAGGCGGTCAAATTCCCGGACGGGTTTTGAGCTCCAACGTCGCTAAATGGGACTCGAACCGGACGTGTGTCTTACCCCACCAGTGGATTTCTCTCCAAACGATGCATCCATTGGTGGGGTCACACATTTGGTTCGAGTTCTGTGTAGTGACGAGCTTAAGACGCGTCAAGAGTTTTGGCCGCCGGCGCCGGTCTTCTCACCCACTCTGGATCACCTGATCAGCTAGTGGCCACCCACAAAATAAATTCCAGCCATACTTTTTTAAAAGTAGATAAAAAGATTCCTCGTGATCCAATAAAAGTCAAGACTCGTGGCCGAGCGGTGAAAGTGCCCCTTTGAAATCCAAGATGTCTTAGTTTCATTTCCAGAGGGCTAAAAAGTGAATTTTCAAGCTGTCCATATGGACATTAAAAGCAATGGATTCGTCTCGACCATACAAACAAAAAATGTCAACACATGACGTTTGGATGGAAAATAGAAAAGTGACTGAACTAGAACATTTACCATATAGCCAAAATAGCCAAAGTGTTTTGAAGTATGGTAACTTTCTAATTTCCCATCAAAAATCAAGATATGTGGTAACGTATTTAGATTGTCTTGTCGAGACGAGTCCAATTATGTCAATTAGGACAACTGTCAAAATCCACTCAATTCCCTTGAAAATGAAACCAAGGCAACCCTTTGGATTTCAAGGCGGCACTTTCCCTGAGGGAGGACTGATTGTTTACGCGCACCTTAGACCCTGGAGGAGATTTTCCACTTACCTGGACAAACCACTTGAGGATGGACGTCGGATTGCCCTCAGGCTCCGGGTATGTAAGCTCGACGGCCATCTCGTAGCCAGTGACGAAGTAGCCACTCATAAACATGCTGCAAAAGGGAAATCAAAGAAGAAGACTTTCACGCTAAAGCCACTTTTGCCCGTCAAGCAAATGGAAGAATTTCCAGTTAATGGTCGGTACAAAATTCTGCAAGGTCAACGCGGGCTTGAATAGCCGAACTATATTCACGAGTTAAAGAGGATAACTCCTCTTTGGTCCACCACAAAGTCTTGAGTCCACCACAAGGCACGCACTAAGTGTGAGGTAGGACAGTTGGCGCTACGGCCTGGGCTGCCGTTGAACCGATACAATAGATATCTTACCCCATGATCCCGACCACAACGTAGAGAACCTCCATGGAAGTGGTTGCGATGCAGATGGAGTACATGACGATGGACGTGAGGGCACCGAAGTACGTGATGAGTGACAATTCTCTGGGGACACGATGAAGATGACAAAAAACGTTGGCAACCTCTCATTCCTTACGATAATTCGAACTGTATGGGCATTATTTCAGACACTGCAAATCCAAGGGCAATACCTTAGTATCATTTTTGGTGATACAGATGAGTGTGCCAAAAAACGGCCATACAGAAAGTCTTGCTTTCAAAACGGCGATACTCAAAAAGTATAGCCAAAATTTGGCAATACTTGGTAATAAACAATGAACTAGTCATCTTGTCTTGTTCAACATTTAAGGCTATAATTTGGTGATAAAGAAAAGTATCGCCAAAATTAGGCGATGCTTTTGTGAACTGCCGTTTTGGAGGCAAGATTTTCTGAACGGCCGTTGGTTGGCGATACTCAATTGTATCGCCAAAAAAGGTACTAAAATTATCACCTTTCGACTTTGGAGTCAACAGAGAACTAAGCTTTGAAGCCAAGCGTTGCAACCACTGTGCTTGAAAAAGAGACTTAAAAATACGCTGCAGTTCTTTCTGTGGACAGTGGACCAGAGCGAGACGGGAGAGGGACGCACTTGAATTTCTTCGTCTTGTCCAGGATGATGCCGATTATCATTGTGGCCGCCATGCCTAGAAGACTCAGCAGCGTCGCGATATACCCAGTCTCAGAAATACGTTCCTAAACGAAAGAAAAAATTAAAAACTGTGGCGAATTTTTAACAGTGTGGGACCTGGACTTTTCACCAATCAGGGTTAAACTTTTGATAGTTAGCAGCAACGGTGCGCTGCTGGTTCTTGCACTTTGATTACTTGTGTTCTTCACCACTCTCATTTCAGGAACGTGACATCACTGGAAACGGATGTGACATATTCGCTTCAACGTGATGTCACGTTCGTTCCTGGAACGACAGTGCACTCAGTGACGAGTGAAAGGGCCAAACTACGGTCGTAGCTTTACATTTCAGACTCTGTTTCGAAACCAAGCATAGTCCTTTACCTCACGAAATTGTAGTTGAATAAAAGTGTTATCAATTGATAGATTTCCCGTTTAAGCACATCCAATCCTGCACGTGATTGATTCTTCTGCCAGCACATTAGGGCCCATAGTGGATTTTCAGCAGCACTGAGAATTTTTTTTGTCTTTTTGTGACAAAACCATGGATGGTATTTTCATCACTTTCAAAAGATGACAATCTCATCGCAAATTTAAGACGTTTTCATCAAAGCTCCTATGTATACGTATTGCGTGGGCGTGACAACCATGTCACCAATTGTTTTGATGACATGTGAGGAAAATTAGCCTTGAAATTGTCATCAAGTGACGATTCAAATTTTCACAGAGAGGCCAGAAAGGGGCAGGCCAGAGCGCATGTGTTGTAGCTCACCGGGAAGAACTCCATGATGTCCCTATTGAGCACCGTAAGGAAGGCTGTGTACGCGCTGTACATGAGGTTGAAGCAGATGATGAGTAGGATGAAGCTGGGGTGCTTTAAAATGCTGCGCAGTGACTTGAAGAAGTGGCCGTGGCCAGACGATGCTGCGACTGTCGCGGCTGCCTGCGCGGGCGACGGAGGCAGCGGAGGCGCTTGCTGGAACACTGCCCTCCATCCGAGGGGGTAAACACTTCAAGAAATCGTGTACAGACTACTCGGTATTACGCTGTATTACGGTGTATTACACTTGCATTACGGCCTTAAAATGCCAAAATTTGGCACATTTGACCAAAAAATGGTATTACGATCACATGTATTACGCGTAATACACGGTTTTGGTGTACAGGGTATTACGCGAGTGGTTACCCCCTCGCCTCCATCGTCTCAGATTTACCTTGGACCGACTTGTACACTGACTAACTGTCGACCAAGATACATCAAGTGCGCACTTCCGTGATGCTTGCAAGTTTACACACGCTGAAAACCTTAGCAAGAATTTAAGCCACAGTAGCTTCATATAACAAAGTATTTTGAGCATGCGTAAACTTCCAACGAAAACAGTTCGTAATTTACGAACCGTTTCTTCGTATTACATACTCAATTAGTTTGTATCTTACATATTCTTAAATTACTTAAGGTTTTCAGCGTGCACTGACAAACGCATAGTTGGCCAAGCTTATGCACACTTAACAAAAAGTGCACACTTAAAAATGCATGCTTGGCGCCCTGTGCATACGCATGCAAGTGTATACTTAGTAGACGGCTAGGTTTGTAGTGTACACTTATACACTGTAGGGATAAAGCGTGCTGCGTCACTATATGGGCTCATATCAACAAAGAGGCACGCTTCAATCCTAGAGAGTGCTTGCAAGCATGCTCCTGGGAAGAGTGTGCTTGCAAGCATGCTCCTGGGAAGAGTGTGCTTGCCAAGCATGCTCCCGGGAAGAGTGTGCTTGCCAAGCATGCTCCTGGGAAGAGTGTGCTTGCCAAGCATCACTGTTAAAAAAAAATTCTGAAAATTCAGGCTAAATGAACTGAAGAAAATTTCGCAAAAGGCACTCCTAATTTTCAGACCAACCTTTTCAGAAACATGCGGTCTGAAAATTCAGACCTGTGAATTCAGACCACAAGTCTGAATATGGATTAAGACCTCTAGTCTGAATTGGTATTAAGACCGCTGGACTCTGAAATTTAGGAATTTGGTGAGCTTAAAATTGAGATGTCCTGGTCTGAAAATTGAGAGGGCTTCCTGGTCTGAATTTGCTTTCAGCAGTTCACTCCCATACCCCTCGCCTCCCTCTTTGTGCGCAGTGCGGGCAAGGTAATATATGAAAGTTGATCCAACCGATGCTTTAAGAAGGATGAAAATTGGTGTGGCTAGTAAAAGTCAATTTTGTAACCTTAAGGATACTGTCAAGTGAAACTTGCATGTCCTAGAAATATTTGTCACAGGAAGTTCATTTTAAGGTCAAAATTCCACCACTACTAGATAAATTTATTCTCAAAGTTGGGGACTCCAACTCTAATTAGTTTCTGAGTTATGGAGGTTTACGTAAACTTTTAGTCGTTTCCTCCAAATTCTTCTCACGACAAAGGATTTGCTACCCAGCCTTCAGATTCTGGCAATTATATCTATTTTTGCATATGAAAAAGAAAGCGTTGTCAAATTTGAAAATACAAGTCCAGAAAGAGGCTGTATTAGCTTTTAAAAAGCTAACTTATCAGGCCCACTTTTATTTTTCTTCAAATTTAAAAGATTTTGCCTTATTATTGGTTTATGGTGTTTCAGGAAAACTAAGGGAGATATTTTTTAAAAAAGCTATCTATTTCCTTTGCAAAAATAGATATAATTACAATAATATGAAGACTGGGTAGCTAATCCTTTGTCGTGAGGAAAAATTTGAGAGAAACGACTAAAAGTTAACGTAAACATCCATAACTCAGAAACTAAAATAAGGTGGTGTACAACTCTTAGTGCATGAGTTAATGCAATGGAAAGGAACTTTTATCCAGGAATTGAGATATCTGGACAAATATTTAGAAAAAAACTTAGAATGTCACTTTGGTCACTTGAGTCATCATAACCATAAATTTCTTTGCTTATCATCGCAAAATCAACTCAAACCTTGGTTGTAACAATTAACTCACTGTGGCAAGCACACGATCCAACACGCACCGGTGCACACGAAGTGAACGTATCAGATTCGTCCAACCAGAAGTTTGAACTAATATCCGATGAAGGCACTTTGGGGACGAGTGTGAACGGGGAGAGGCGAATAACTTAGAACACCTCTCGCCCTCTCACCGCCCGCCCCTTCAGTTTCGGGAGATGCGTACAGCGAGCGCAGAGTCACTACAGCGTCAAGAAGGGTCATCAGCAGAAAACACTTCGAACTAAAATGCACTTCTTTCCGTCGACATGACTTCAGCGCGCCGAGCGAGTGGACCTGACGCAAAATACACGCGATGTGTGCACCTTGGAAGACTGCTGGAGACTGACGTTTTGCGTGCAGGGCGCCGGGTCGGCCAAAACATTCCGAGTTGCCGACGGATTAGCGCTCCCCTCCTTGCCGAGCCAATCAGAGGGCGCCTCCAGCCGGCCCTGCCTCGCCGGACTTTCCGAGAATGCACCGGCGGGGACAGTCCTGCGGCCGCTGCACTGGGCTCGGCTCGGTGCTCGGCCCTGCTCGGTGCCGAACGGACTCAGCCGAGCAAGTCCGAGACAAACTAGATCGCTTTCGGGCCTACTAGCTTAGCTGGTCAAGGTGCTCCCAGAGCGCTATAAAGAGGGCTACTCTGGGGCTCAAGGTGCTACCTTCGGGGCAGTCCGATTAAAGCAGCGTATAGAGAGAGGGGGCGGGAGTCAGACGAGTCGGGCAGAAAATTAAGACCGGACGCTGAATTCTACTTTCAGACTCGCAGGGCAAATTATTAAACCTTGTTAAGTCTGAATTTTCAGACCGCCGCGTCTGAAATTTTTTTTCAGACTACAAGGTCCGTATTTTTAGACCTGCGGTCCAAATATTAGGACTCTAGTCTGAAAACGAAATTCAGACGGACAAGTCTGACACTTTCGGTCTGAATTTTCAGAATTTTTTTAACAGTGATGCTCCCAGGAAGAGTGTGCTTGCAAGCATGCTCTTGGGAAGAGTGCGCTTGCCAAGCATGCTCCTGGGAAGAGTGTGCTTGCCAAGCATGCTCCCGGGAAGAGTGTGCTTGCAAGCATGCTCCTGGGAAGAGTGTGCTTGCCAAGCATGCTCCCGGGAAGAGTGTGCTTGCAAGCATGCTCTTGGGAAGAGTGTGCTTGCAAGCATGCTCCTGGGAAGAGTGTGCTTGCAAGCATGCTCCTGGGAAGAGCGTGCTTGCCAAGCATGCTCTTGGGAAAAGTGTGCTTTGTGGTTGACTCCTAGGAGGAGCATGCCATGCACTCTCTTAAGTTTCTAGAGAAGTCTCGCTATCCGGACTGCCCTTGGATTTGATTTTCCAGTGTGGGGCACCACGTGTAAGAGCCTTACGGAAGAATACCGCGACCAGCATGATGGTGGCAGCAACCGCCAGAGACATGTTAAGGGTCAAGAAACCTTCAAAGTTTTCTTCCTGCGTCCAGCTGGCCCTCGCTGTTCGTGAGGCCAGGAAGCAGCCGATGGAAACACCGCCCTGCACAGAGTTGCAGCGAGGGGGTAAACACTCCCGAGAAATCGTGTACAGAGTACTCGGTATAACGCTGTATTACGGGGATATGACACGTGTATACCGGCATTAAAATGCCAAAATTTGGCACATTTGGCCAAAAAATTGGATTACAATTACGTGTGTCACGCGTAATACACGGTTTTTGTGTAGATTATTACGCGAGTGTTTACCCCTTCGAGTAGCAGCCAATTCACCCGATTAGCAAATACGCGGTTTTATCGATGGGTGAATCACTCAGCTTTTTGGTGTACACATGAGCACATGCACTGTAGCAAAAAGCTACGGAAAATTCTGTAAACAGCTTGTGGTAATTCTCCGTAGCCATTTTGTCAATATCTTCCGCAGGACCTTACAGTGTTCTCTGTAGGACCGTACAGTGATCTCCGTAGGACTACACAGTCTACGTACCAGGTCCTAAGGAGAGGACTGTACACTGTGGCAAAAAGCTACGGAAAATTCTGTAAACAGCTTGTGGTAATCCTCCGTAGCCCCCTTGTCAGTATTCTCCGTAGGCTCTTACAGTATTTTCCGTAGGACCACACAGTATTCTCCGTAGGACCTCACAGTGATCTCCGTACGACTGCACAGTCTTCCAGGTCCTACGGAGAAGACTGTGCGGTCCTACGGAGAATACTGTACGGCCCTACGGAGAATACTGTAAGAGCCTACGGAGAATATTGATAAGAGGGCTACGGAGAATCCTGGCAAAAAAATTAACAGAATTTTCCGTACTTTTTTGCCACAGTGTACGGTCGTACGGAGGATACTGTAAGAAGAGAATCTTGGCAAAAAATTAACAGAATTTTCCGTGCCTCTTTGCCACAGTGTGAGGTATACCTGATAATACTAAAAAATTGGACATATTGTTAACGTTATTAAGCCTATTGAGCGTTTTAAACGAAAAACAAGGCCCAAGCCTTTAAATTTGGTCATTTTCGCTCGTTTAAAACTTGTGAGTACTCTGAGTACGGGCTTATGTGTACACATGAGTACACTAGTGAAAAGTATATAACTTGCACAAAAAAATACAGGTACTATCGACAATGTCAATACCATGCACTAAAAGTCAATAGCGAGTCTGAGAGTGCACCTTCGCGTACCATGGATCCAATCAAGAAGCCGCACACGGCGGAGGACGCTTCGTCGGCGGGGAACCACACTGCAGCGACCCGGAGAGAGGCGGTGCACAGGAAGTTGTAGGCGATGGCGATGACGGCTTGGCCCGCCAGCACGGCCCACCAGTGTTGCGGCCAGCAGCCCAACACGTGCAGCCAGAGCCCCGCAGCAGTGAGAAGCGCCCCCGACAGCACGCTGGGGCGCAAGCCCTACCAAAATCAAAGTACATGTACACAGTTAGAAAAAAAAGTCCGTAAATTTACGGAGAAAGTTACTCTAATTTTGGGAATGGAGGCTCCGTAAATTTTCCATATTTGTACGGAGATTTTCCGTATTTTTACGGAGATGAACCACATTTTTGCAGAAATAAACGCATTTTAACGGTTTACTTCCCTCCTTCCACCTTCGATGTTGATGCAAACAGTGGTCTTTAAGACGAAAGTGATTTTCTCCAAAACTGTTTGAAGATCCACTTGACCACATGCCAGGATCGGATAAATGGACGGAAACCCAAAGGCGAGGTTGCTTTAGGGAAGGCGTACTCTTGGAACACCTAATCAGTTGGTCACCCAACCCATCGATAACGTGAATTAGTCTGTTCTTTTTGATAAGTAAGGCTTCTATTTCATTTATATACATAACTTCCATATTTTTACGGAGAAAAAATTTAAAGAAACGGAGATCTCCGTTAAAAAAAATGGACAGTCTCCGTTAAATTTCCGTATTTTTACGGAGTTTTCTGACGTGTACTAAGATGTTTTTAAACGGGAAGTTATTTCCAGCGGAGACAGCACCGCATCCGCACTATGAAAGTCTATAGTCAAATCTGAAGGTTCCCTCACTGAAAATTTTGTTCAGTACTCTACAAATCAGAGAGCGTACATTGTACGCTCTACCTGGAGCATGCCTGCAAGCACGCTAAAGCTAGCGCATGCCTGCCAAGCATGCACTTACTAGTGCATACATGCAAAGGGACATTCCACGTGAATCCAACGACGGTTTGGAATCGAGGTCCTCGGATTTCGACCTAAGTGGTATCAATCGATTCGGTATCGGCCCCTGACTCACCATGTAAATTTTTTTGTCAAAATTTTGAACGGTTTAGTTTTTGCACCAGTTTTATGGTTTTAAGAGTTTAAAAATAGTAAAAACAAAATTTTTTTTCCAAAATTTTTTTAGGTGTTTTTAAGCCATTTGCTTCTAGAAATTAAAAAATGGCAGATAGGTCAGGATGATATCACTAGAAGCAAATGGCAATTGAAAGTCATGTCCAAATAAATGTCATACATGTACTATGTCTTTTGTTTCATTTCTGTGCTCAAAATAAAATAAATTTGTGTAAAGTAACTATGATAATGATTGCATGGGTCCCTAAAAGTAGGCAAATAGAAGAGCTAGCTATCAGGAGTTATGTTGGGCCCTGATATCGTTACTTTGAGTGATCTGCATGGTCGACCAAGTAATCGCATGAGAGAAACGACAAAAAACAGTCAATTAAAGGAAAAAAATATGCCGCAATTAGACATGTTATAGGCTCTAGAAAAAAAAATTGTGGCGGGCCATCCAAACCCTCTTAAGGGAGTGTGCACCAATAGTAGAGGAAAAGAAAAAAAAAGTTTGGCCATAATCCATGATGACGTATTTTCAGAATGGTGAAATTTGTCAAATTTTCACCAAAATTCACCATTTTTACTACCCTAAAAACCTCCCAGATGGTTCTGAAACAACTTTTAATGCTTTTCCCACATTACTAAACCCTTAAAAACACCTAAAAAAAATTTTGAAAAAAAAAATTTGTTTTTACTATTTTTAAACTCTTAAAACCATAAAACTGGTGCAAAAACTAAACCATTAAAAATTTTTTCAAAAAAATTTACATGGTGAGTCAGGGGCCGATACCGAATCGATTGATACCACTTAGGTCGAAATCCGAGGACCTCGATTCCAAACCGTCGTTGGATTCACGTGGAATGTCCCAAAGTATACACGCTTACTGAAGCATGCATCTAGTGCATAAGGAGGGAGTTTTCTGCATCAGGAAGCATGCACTACATAGCATGTCACTAGTAAGTGCATGCTTGGTAGGCATGCGCTAGCTAGAGCACGCTTGCGGGCATGCTTTAGGTAGAGCATACAATGTACGCGTTTGGATTTGTAGAGTATACTTCGGTATACTTACATATTTGTCCAGTATGAAGGCCGCGGGAACGATGAGCATCATGGCCGCTACATTGTACGACAGGATCGTCCACTCAATCATCTCGTTGCTAACGCCGTAGTACGTTGAGACAACGTCAGCCAGCACAGAGTACTGCATCCACGGCACAGCATTGAATACAACAACGCCGACGAAGAGGAGAAGGATGACCCAGCGTCGCTTGTACACCTTGGTCTCGGGGGGCTTCATGGCGCACACACAGAGTTCTTTGAAGCACACTTTTCCGGACGCACTTTCTCTGCACAAGCACTGCAAAGACCGGCTTGCGTTACCAGAATGGTGCGTCTTGGACACGCGTTTCAACTTAAGGGGAGGTCCCGTGCGGATCTGGGCTGGAACGTTTGACCCGCGTTTCACAGTGGGCCAGATCCGTGGAGGCGGCCAAAATTTTCTAGACGGGTTATGAGCTGCAGTGTCGCTTACGGTCTCGAACCGAACGTGTGACCCCACCAATGGATTTCTCGTTCGGAGAGCAATTGATTGGTGGGGTCACACGGTCGGTTCGAGTCCCATTTAGCGACTCTGGAGCTCAAAACGCGTCTAGAATTTTGACCGCGCCTTCACCGGTCTTCTGGCCTGCGCCTGTGCCGAGGACCCAGAGCGAAGTGACATTTCTTCAGCTGCGGCAAATTAGTGTCAGCGCCGGCACGGCGCTTATCGGCGGAGGTACCCACTTTCAACAGAGTGCAAACAACGACATGCGCGGCAGCAAAGACACTTTCTCCACTGTCCTTGTGAAAGTGTGTATGTGTGTGTGTGTATCAACACTAATAAACCGCACAGCTGACGAAGATTAGCATGTTTATCCCTATCTAATCTAATATTGTGGGTGAATTTATTTGTATTTTAAGTGAGCCCGCGCCGTTTGTTCCTGGGTCATTCCCAACATCTTGGCTCCGGTCACACTCCCGACGTGGACGCTGTTCAAAAAATTTAATTACATTTTCATCACATGGTAGTGAAGCTATAATCATTACAATGTAATTAAAATTTTCATTACATAAATGTTATTAAAATTTTCATAACAGTGTAATGGACCAATGTAATTAAAATTTTTATGACAAATATTTAATTACATCTTAAAATGTGTCATGCACACACTTGCGTTTGCAGAGTGGCAAGCCTCCGTCTTCGTCGAGGCTGGCCAGGACCAGGCTGGACCGGACGCAGAAAAATGGTCTCGAGCGCATTCAGCTGAAGCCGTAAAAATCTTCCCGCTGAGGTTTTCCTGGAAAAGGGGTCCGTCGTCAGCGAAATTTAGGCAAACCAGCGTGCAGATGCACTCCCCTGAGTGGAAATCCCCCAGGAGCGTTCCGGTGCCGTGGGGTGCGCACGCCGGGCCACGGTGGGTTCTCCACAGTGTTGCCCGGTGGAGGTGGAACAAATTCTAGACGCGTTTTGCGCTTCAGAGTCGCTAAACAGGACTCGAACCGAGCGTGTGACCGCACCCATGAAATCCTCGTTCGGAGGGCAATCCATTGGGGGGTTCACACGTTCGGTTTGAGTTCTATTTAGCGACACTGGGGATTAAGACGCGTCTAGAATTATGGCCGCTTCTGGCGCACTGAGAACAATGCTCGATGGGGAGGGGAAAAGGTGGTACTTCGGAGCGCTTTGGAGGTACACTCTCATTCCAGGAACGTGACGCCATGTTGAAACGGAAGTCACAAAATGTCACGATCTTTTGAGCATTGTGTCACATTCGTTTCGATGCGAATCAGCCAAAAATTAGCGTATTCACGTTCAAGCGAATGTGACACAATGCTTAAATATATACCCAGTCTCAGAAATACGTTCCTAAACGGGAAAAATACTATTCCAAGAAATCCCAGGAGTCACGAAGTCAATTTGGCAGTCACCTCTGGTTAACTGTCCCGAATTGGCCCCTGGTTAGCTGTCCTAGAGACATCCCCACCACCACCGGCCGGCGAGGGATTACCGGCTATCCCGGCTCTGGCTGTCCCCAGCGCCTCCCGGGTGCAGGGACAGCTAACCAGAGCTGACTATTGTGTAGAAGTGTGGAGGAAGAAAAAAAGTTGTGTAAAAGGGATAAGAAAGTGGCTCAGGGGTGGCTACCAATGGCAGTTGTACCAATGTGGTCGATGTGCTACCCGTCAAAATTTAAACTTGACAGTTAATAGAAATCAAAATGCCGGAGAGTTCGAAAAATTCCAATGCTAATGTATTCCACGGTACGTACTGACATTGGAACATCTTTGAAGTCCATCATTATTAAAATGTTGGTAGCAGAAAGAAGGCAGTAAATTAATTTTCACGGGTTGGCAACAATTTTCTCGGGTGACCAACCAGAGTCCAACTTTTGGCAGTTAACACCAACGGTGCGCTGCTAGTTCTTGCACTTTGATTTTTTTTTGTTCTTCATCACTCTCATCCCAGGAAGGTGACATCACGTGGAAACGGATGTGACAAAACGTCCCGTGCCTTCGTGACATTTTGTCGTGACGTCAAACGTGACATTTTGACTCATTCGTTTAAACGTGATGTCACGTTCCTGGAATAAGAGAGTACGCGAGGGGTCACGAAAAAGTGGTACTCTGAAGCCGGGGGGAGTGTATAGGGAACAGTGCGAGATTTTAATGCGAGTTTGGGTTTCGGAAGGAAATGATTCCCGATCCCGATCATGAGAAAATGGCACCATAAAAATCAACCGCGTACCGCGTATGTGCCTAAACTGTTGCTCTCGTGTGTGCCCGCGGTGCACTAAAGCACTGCACTTTCCGTTCCAAGAGTTTGGCCGGATACATTGCCCCCTTCACCGCGAAGTAGATCGGGTCCAGGGCCCCGAACAGGCAGAGGATTAACATGCCCGTCTCGAAGGGGCCGCATATTGACCCAGGTTCTCAGTATTTCCCTCTGCCCAGCTGGCGGACGTAGCACAGTGGGCCAGAAGACCGGCAGAGGCGGCCATAAATCTAGACGCGTTTTTAACTCCAGAGTCTCTAAATGGGACTCGAACCGAACCTGTGACACTATCAATAGATTCCTCGTTCGGAGAGCAATCCATTGGTCGGGTCACACGTCTAGCGACTCTGGAGCTCAAAACGCGTCTAGAGTTTTGGCCGCCTCCATCGGTCTGGCCCACTGTGCGTAGACCGACTTTTCCCCGAAAAGGTGGCACGGAATCGGCCGACCGGCGGTGTCAAGGCTATAAGTCTGGCAACGCTGGTTCTCCACCACACGCAGGGCTGAAGGGCGCGTTCGCGGTTCGGGTGCATTCGGGTGCGTTCGGGTTCCGAGTTCGGACGGGCGACGAAGGCGAGCAACTCCAGCGCCCTCTACCCGGCCGAGACTGGCAGGCGTCAACAAGCGAAGCGAAGCGTAAGCGTCCTGTTTTCACCCAGTCCAGTCTGAGTCGAGTCTTGTTCCACTTCGGTCAGTGCCCAGTCCCAGTCCAGCTTACTGCACGGCGCGGAGAAGACGTGACCAACGGACATCACAAACACCATGAGTACTACTAGGTGTACAGGTTGGTTCAGGAACTGCTTAGCACAGCACAGTCGGCCAGCAGACCGGCGGCCGAAACTTCACACGCGTTTTGAGCTCCAGAGTCGCTGAACAC